CCACCAAGAAGACCAATTCACCCAGTTAATCCCGGAATCTAAAAATAGATACATCCCTCTATAAAAAGGAGACACCATATCCCTAAGAGGATCAGTTCTGATCTGAGTGAGGGACAGAGCACACGTCATGGAATTTTTAAGCTCAGAGTATCGTTGGAAAATAGTAGAACCTGAAGGGACTAGTTTAAAGGGAGAATGGATGAAAAACAAAGAGACATGTATTCAAGATTTCTTTGATCAGAATCCAGGACAAACAGGTCTCCATGAAATCTACCTGTATAAGAGATTCAAGTTACCGGACCGCCAAAGAAGTAAACACATGGTCTTATTAGGACCCAGACAGCCCAAGTATCGGGAATTCAAATGGAAAATCAATTACGTCTTGCCTCACCAAAGAGAGGGACCCGAAAGCACTTTGTTTCAAGGGAAATGGATGGAAAAAGCTGGAGATTGTATTAAAGACTATTTGAAAGAAGTGATCGTAAAAGGATTCAATGCCTGTGGTAACCGTTGTGAAACAGACTATTTGTACATGAGGAGATCCTTCCCCATACAAAAAGAACTGAATCAAAGTTTTGAATGTTTGTTATTATAATGATGTTCTTGTTTCTTGTTCTTGTTGTTATTGTTATGAATCAATAAAATAAAAGAAAAACAAAAATTCTAGTGTTGTTATTTTTTCCCCTATATACAAAAAAAAAAAGAAGTTGTTATAAATACAAAGGTCCTTAGGTCAAAGGTCTCAGTCTTAGATTGAACATGGCAGAGAGCAGTGGGTTTTACATGACTTTACCCAGTGATGGGTCTATGGCCTCTTTTTCTACCAATACGACCGCTCAATTTAAAACCTTATTACCACAAACAGTGGATTTAACCGACGGAGAATGGGAAGTGGCTTTAACAGAAATGATGTATCCCAATTCATTGAAAAACATTACAGAAAAGGAGGCTTATTTTGACATCCTGATCCCTCAGTCTTTTGCTCCCCATAACAAAGATATCAAAGACCCAAATGTTTTTAAATCGGGCAGATTTAAAATGAAAACCTTAGACCCAATGCCATTACGTCAATGTCCTGTACTGATAGATTGGGCCCATAATAAACGGCCTTCACTCATTGATCTAGATGGCAAGATGGAAATTAGACGAATTCACTTCAGACCCGGGCCTTACGTTCACCCCAAGGCTTTAACAGAGGAAATAAGTCTAGGACTACAGAGATCATTGAGAAAAATATGGAAAACCGTTGGTCATCCAGATGAAGAAAATTCTATGAAATTAGTATATTACGAGACCTATGATCGAGTGATGTATCAAATTAATGGAAAAAATCTTACTCCCTTATGCATTCGTTTCCCCACATCCCTAGCTTATAAGCTAGGCATGGACAGTCAGAAAGTCATTCTTCAGAACGATACAGAAAACATGACCAAATGGATCAACATTAGTTACTTGGGAAACAATACTGTGGATTTATATGAAAATCTGAAATCCATGTATGTCTATTGTGACTTGATTCAACCCCAGACGGTAGGATCCAATGCCTTGAAACTCTTAAGAGTGGTGCCTTGTACATTTCATTTGGAGGATTCAAAACAAGCCAAATGGGAACCCATTCGAGCGGAATATTTGAAACTAAGTAAAAAACATTTCGATACCATTGAGATTCACATCATGACTCCTTTAGGGACTCCCATGCCCTTTGTAAGTGGTAAATCAGTGGTGAAACTTCATTTCAGAAAAGTATACTGAGATGAATGTACCGTTATTGTGTTCCATCTTATTGGGCGTGGTGGCTTGTCTGGTCTGCTGTCTGTATTGTATTGTATTCAGCCCTAAAAAAGGGTATAAAAGGAAGTCCCCCGAGGACAGAAAGGTCAGTTGAATAAGAGACATGAACCATGCAGTATCATCCCGGATTACTGAGACAAAGAGGACACGGACAGTTTGTCTATCATAGAGGGTTATTACGTCAAAAAGGACACGGTTTTTTAGGATCCCTATTTAAAGTAGCAGCTCCTTTAGTCAGCAATCTAGTAGGAGGATTATTGGGTCAACAGCAACCCCCACCACCACCACCACCACCACCAGGCTATTATCCACCCCAAAACTATCAAAGAGGGGAAGGATTTTTTACTGATTTACTGAAAACCGGAGCTAAACACGCCTTGACTGCTGCTGCTAGAACGGGGTTAGACGTATTAGAAAATAAGAGATCTTTAAAAGACGCAGTCAAAACTCACGGAGTACAAGCTCTAAAAAATACTTCGGGAATGGTGAAACAGAGAATGAATCTAGGAGGTACTAACAAAAGAAGAAGAAAAAGAATGAAAAAACAGAGGGGATCGGGAATGGTGATTAAAATAACAAGAAGAAAAAGAAGACGACAGAGAGGGCGAGGATTTTTTACTGATTTACTGAAAACAGGAGCTAAACACGCCTTGACTGCTGCTGCTAGAACGGGATTAGACGTATTAGAAAATAAGAGATCTTTAAAAGACGCAGTCAAAACTCACGGAGTACAAGCTCTAAAAAATACTTCGGGAATGGTGAAACAGAGAATGAATCTAGGAGGTACTAACAACAGAAGAAAAAAGACCCCTATGTTAGCCCGAGGAGGTCCTAAGAGAAAAAGGAAAAAACAAGGAGGAGGAATTCCTAAAAGAAAACGTCCTTTAGATGTGTTTGACTGAGAGAGGGGTATAAATAGGCCAGTCCTGTGAACAGAAGGTTCATTTGTGAAAACTGAATCCTAGTAGACACATCATGTTACAACCCGATTCCTGTGCGTGTGGGATGAACAATTTACAATTGTTTGAAGTCCCTCCCACTAATATTGCTTTAGAAGACTCGAAATGGGAAGAATATTACCCCATTTCCAGTACTTTAGATTCGGACACCGCTCCCATCGAATTTGAAATTAAAGGACAAGGAGATCACTATCTGGATTTATCTCAAACTTATCTTCAAATGGTATGTAAATTTACCAAAGACGATGGAAGTAATCTGACCGGGGCAAACAGCACTTCGAGTCCAGTGAATAATATATCTTACATTCCATGTTTACGGAAATCGATATCAGTCTGAATGGAAAAATAGTGACTCCAGGGACGGATACTTATCCTTACAAAGCTTATCTGGAGAAATTATTGTCTTACCAACCCAGAACATTAAAGACACAGGCGAGGGCCTGTAGTCTGTGGGAAAAAGATACGGCAGGACACATGGACGAAGTGGGGTTAGAGGCTCTTGGTGTAGCTCAAAATAAGACCTTTGATGTAAGTAAAGGTTCAGGTAAAGACACGGTGACCATTGACGAACCCATCCTCACAGCGTTTCCAGCCAATTCTAAAAACGAAGGATTCCGAAAAAGACACCAAGCTATTGCTGACAGTAAGAAAATCAGTTTGCTGGATCGTTTACATCTGGATTTGTTTCAACAAGATCGATTTCTACCTAATGGAGTGGACGTCCGTTTGCGATTTAATCGAGCTAGACCTGCTTTCTACATGATGATCAAAGGAGGAAGTACAGGAAAAGTGAAAATTTTGAGTATGGTCTTGTGGGTGAGAAAAGTCAAACCCACACCAGTCATGATGAATGCCATTAATCAGAGTTTGAATACCCACAGAGCCAAATATCCCTTGAGAAGAGTGGAAGTGAAAACCTTTACCATCCCCACAGGAACTCAGTCTAAGATTACGGATCATCTGTTTCAAGGCCAGATGCCTAAACGTCTCATTTTAGGCTTTGTGGAGAATGCGGCCTTTAACGGGGATAAAACTAAAAATCCCTTTCATTTCCAAAACTTTGGGATCAAGAAATTAGATGTCAGTATCAACGGAGAGACCATGAGTACTCGTTGTTTTGAGCCTAATTTCAACGACGATTTATATCTGAGATCTTATCTCAGTCTGTATCAAGCTCTGGGAAAATTAGGAGAAGATTGGGCTCCAGACATCACCTTAGAAGAGTATAAAAGCGGCTACACTCTATGGGGCTGGGATTTCACTAAAGATCAAGAAGCGCAATCGGATAAATTCCATCTCATAGAAACAGGAAATCTGAGAGTAGAAGTGCAGTTTACCGCCAATACGGCCACTACCTTAAATTGTGTGGTGTATGCAGAATTCGATAACCTATTAGAAATTAACAAACAGAGAGAAGTGAGCATTGATTACTAAAAATGGATACGGGGCAATTGAGAGAAGTCTTATCCAGAGAATTCAAGAGTTCTTTTGGAGGTGTGTATCCTGTAGATTTATTACCGGATCAATTAAGACCTGGAGAAAAAGCTGTCGTGGTCAATACGGATCCTCAAGATCGACCTGGAGAACATTGGGTGTGTCTATATGTGAGCAATCCCGTGGTGGAATATTTCGATTCTTATGGATTTCCTCCCTTACAAAAAGAAATTCAAGATTTTATCCAGCGTCATGCTCAGCAATGGATATATAATCCGTATCGCTATCAAGACTGGAATACCGACGTGTGTGGACAATATTGCGTGTATTATTTACATCAGAGAGACAAGAAAAGAAAGAAAACCGACGAATGGTTATTCCCTTTTGACCAGAGTACGGCTTTACAAAGGGACAGATATGTAGCGAATTGGTTTCAAAACACTTATCATAAATTACCTACGGGTCATGGACAAAAGTGTCAATGTTTTTATCAAAATGTATTGTAAATACGTTGTTTGTTGTTGTTTGTTGTTTGTTGTTACAAATAAAGAATGAAAAAAAAATCAAAAATCTGTGTTTTCTTTGTTATGGTTTTTTCAGTAAAAATCCAGTTTGAACCGGCTGCCTGGCTAGACAGTCTAGACTGTGAATGAAAAGTGTGACGTCATAATCACATTCTTGCAATGTTTTTGCACACGGCCCTCAAGTATTTACCTGTGTAGTCAGCATATTTTTTGCACACGGCCCTTATCTTTTTGCAAAGGTGTGAGGGGTATAAAAACAAAGGTGTTTTAAAAAATAGATTCATTTTACATCATGAGTGTCCAGGAGATACAAGGTGATTTACTCAACTGTGAGGTAGAAGCTATTGTTCATCAATGTGATTGTTTGTCTGTAAAAGCTTATGGATTGAGTCAAATTATTGCAGAGAAATTCCCACAAGCCAATCTCTATGCCACCCGCAGAGCTTCGAGATTTCAAAATATAGCTTTAGAACAAGATAGAGGAATTCCAGGCACTATTAAGGTGTTTCCTTCACAAACCCCTGTGGTCATTTGTTTACTATCTCAATGGGATTATGGAAAAGCAAGTCACAGACCTAGAAGAATTTCCACTTATCAGGACACAGCATATAATAGAGAGAAATGGTTTCAAGCTTGTTTACAACAAATGGGTAGTTTACCTTACCAGACTTATGCTTTTCCTTTTGGATTATGTTGTGGACTAGCAGGAAATAAGGATCATTATAGACATTATATTGAACAATTTGCACACACTTATAACAAACAGGTGTACATTACTTGTGGATATTAAGTGTATGTATGTATGTATGTATGTATGTGTTATTGTTTTGATGAAAAAATAAATGTTTTAAAAAATGTGTGTTTTGATGTGAATTTATTTTTTAAAAAGAGGGAAATTATTATTATTATTAAAAAAAAGTTTTATAAGTTTTTAAAAAAGTTAAAAAATTTATAAGTTAAAAAATTTATAAGTTTTCAAAAAATTTATAAGTTTTTTAAAGTGACTTGGTGTTATAACTTGAGAGAAACACAATTCGTTTCTTTTTATTGACTGTATAAGGTACTCTTTTCTTATTTACCCACTGTATAAGAAGGTAATCTTTTTTTTTCTTGTTTACCCGCTGTATAAGGTACTCTTTTTCTTTTTTGAACACACAGAACGTTTCGTTTGACTGTATTTTTAAAAAAGATCCTCTTTTTTTCTAAGATACAATCGTTTCTTTGACTGTTATTTTAGAAAAAAAGATCCTTTTTTTTTTTCTAAGACACATACACATTTCGTTTCTCTTTTCAACCGTTTAAGTAGGCATCTTTTCGAAAAATTTGGTGGCTCTTAAAAGAGCCGTTTGGTCGATTTTTTTAGACAGGGTTTACTCCCTGTGTCCCCTGCCTCGTCCCCGGAACTCTGGGCGGTCTGAGAGTGGTCTCCTGACCGAGGGTAAGGGCAGTCTGGTGGGGGGTCTCAAGGGCCGTGGTGGTCTCAACCCTAGGACCCCGCGGGTGGCCACGTTCCTCGCCATGGGTGGTCTGGGGTCTCGCCTCCTGCAAAGCGGACAGCAGCCTAGGGGTGGGGCCTGGAGGACCAGCACCTCCGAGCACCGGTAACAGGCGGGCCTGTTCCGGCACTGGCAGCAAACGTAGTTGGAGGGCTGGTCCTCCTCCAAGCATACTGTACACTGAATGGTGGCCTGTGGCAGCTGGATGCCCCAAACTGGTACGGGTCCCCTGGGAACGGGCGCACTGACTGGGGGTACTGGCCGCTCTTCCTCCGGTGCCCAGCTGTCATTTACCGGGGGCTCCCAGTCGGAATCACTATCCGATGATAGTGCTGCCGCTCCCTGCTGTTGACTGGGTGACCAGGTGGGGGTAGGCGGTCGACGAGGGGGGGGACGGGCTCCTCGGACTTGCAGCTGGTGGACTGGCAGGACCCAGGGTCGCAATGGACAATAGGGTCAGCTCTCTCCCGGTCGCTGCATCCCTCACGATCCACACCGCTTCTAAGTAAATATCAGCCATGGTGAAATACCTGGGGAAATCTCCCTGCTGAGCCATACTGATTCGGCGATCCGTAAAACGAGATGCTAACAGAATGACGCCGAGTTCTAGAGAGCGTCTGTATTTATGCATAGAGCACGGACGGAAAAGAGAGCACCTCGATGGCGAGAGCCGAAATCTCATGGCGAACCGAAATTGTGTGTGTTTTGTACTTTGGGACTTACATATTTTCATGGATTATTTAGTAGGTGTTCATAGTAGGATTCCATAATGATACAGGTCTAAACAAGATAAGTTTCCTGCTTCTTTTCATACTAGAATGGATACATGACATGCATCCTTTGTGGAGAAATGAGTAAAAAACCTCGAAGCGACGAGGTGAAATCCAGTGACCCGAGTGTATAAAATAAACCTTTTCAGTCTTTTTAGAGGGTGAGACCCGGAAAACTCATGTGGGTTAGGGAGAAGGGACTTAGGGAAGACTGCCGATATAGTTTTTATTTCAAAAGAATCATGATCAGGGTAAAAAACAAGCTCAAATAGGTTTACCTATAGACACAATGAGGGGTCAGAGGTCACGGATTTTCAGAAAATCATACTATGAGATATATAAGGATTCTTGGAATCTAGCTTTTATCTGATTGATATTTTAAGAAAAATAAAATGATATGAGGTTAAAAATAATTCGTATTTACTTTTTAGATCCTTTACAAGTCATGATCGTTTGTTTTTTACCAAAATCGAACACTGTAGTGACACTGGGAGTGTAAACAACGTAGGACATACACATTCCCTGATTTTTTAAGTGACCCAATGTTTTATGAAAGAAAATTTGACATGAAAAGATTCGTACTACTTTAAAAATCATTCGTATTTACTTTTTAGATCATGATCCACTCTAGATTTTTTATGTTTATGATTAAAAACCATACACACACACTGCGCGTCTCAAAAAAAAAAAGAATTCAAAAATATTGTAAGTTTATTTCATACAGAAATACCTTCAATGTATAGAGTGAAATTTACTTATAGATTTTTAAAAAGGGGTTATTATTATTAAAAGTTTAAAAAAAAGTTTTATAAGTTTTTAATTTTAAATTTAAAAAGTGACCTGGTGTTATAAACTTGAGATACACACACGTTTCTTTTTTATTGACTGAATATGAAGGCATCTTTTCGAAAAATTTGGTGGTCCTTAAAAGGACCGTTGGGTACAAAACACTTTTTGGTTTTTTCTGGTTTTTGTTGATTTTTTTGGTTTTTTCGTTGATTTTGTTGATTTTTTTTTTTTTTGGTTTTTTCAAATTTTGTTGTCAAGGAAGGTCCCGCCTAGGCTGCCAGCAGCTCCTGGACTAACTGTCCAATGTTTCTGGACCCGTCTTCTTCTTCATCCGAAGAACTGTCACTGTCACGGGGGGCGAATTCCGGCCTCCTGGACAAGGGTACGGGGACACGAATCTGGTTCCGGCAAAGGGGACAGGCCATCCTCTGCTCTACTACCCTAGCCGCACAAAGCATGCAAGAGGGCCGCTGCATGCAACGGCTGCAACAATAGTTACTTGTCTCTCCTTCAGACATGCACAAGGAACAGAAAATGGTCTGTTGGGGGACCTGGAAGCCCCAGGTGGGGATCCTCCCATGGTTTCTGGCCCGTGTCTGGGTTGCAGCAGTAATAGCAGGTCTGGGCGGTGGTGGGGGTGGCGTTCGTGGGGTTCCCCTGCTTCGAAGCCTGGTGTAGGGGGTGCGGGTCCTTCTGCTGGGGGGCTCCAGAAGCCTAGTTCTCGTCATGTTGTAGTGTGATATTTCCTCTCCAGTATCCATCCGTCTTATAATTATATGGTGCTCAATGGAGATCCCGGGTATCACCCATATATCTTGATGAAATTGGTTGTCCATCTTCTTCTTGTTCTCAAATCAAGCGCAAAGGAATGACACTGAAACCACGGAGGGGCTGTATTTATTTACATTAGCAGACAATAGTTCAATCGCGGTAAAATATCAACAAATCAATCACGTGATTAAATGTGATTGGCTAAAAGAAAAAAATCGCTTTTGGTCATGTGATCAAAAAGAGCTCCATCACAGTGACAAAGCAAAATTGAAGGGGGAAAGGCCGAACCCGAGTGTATCTATGACGTCATATAATAACATAACAGTGATGTAGTATTACATGATTTTTTATTTTATTTTATTTCTTAAAAACTAACAATGCTTCTAACTGTAGAATTCTCCTCCGAAATCGTATTCGATTCGCTACTAGGGTCATCCAGGGACTTCTCCGGTCTTCGGGGGTAATTCGTAGATTTGATTTGAGGTTTTGGTATTAAAAAAGTCACGGATTTTCTTAACCTATGTGTGAAATTTCCCAGGTATTGAAATACATACCTTTTTTTTTTCTTTTCATTGCATCTATGTATTATCACAGTAAAAAAAAATATTATTATTGCAGCCCGGAGGACCGGGCTGCTCTATACATATAAGTTTAAGTGTTGGAGTATGGTGATTGGGTAGGGAGAAGTTATTCAGAATTAAAGGTTTTCTTAACATTGAAAAGATTGTTAATCAGAATGTTCTTCCCTTTCTAAATTACGATATACATAATATATAAACTTCCATTAAGTGAATATGTAAAAATAAATATGTTTTACATATTTAATATTTAAAGTTGCGTATCATTTACTATCGAAAAAACGACAGATCCCTTTTTTTAGAACATCGAATTTTACTTCTCGCATAAAAACGTACTCTGCATAGTTCATGTCTTATTTTCTAAAATTAAACATTAATACATTTTTGAATATAGGTGATGCATGTGTCTAACTTCAGTTTATATTTTATGCAGCCAACATTTACACGAGGAATTGATCAAGTTTAAAATGGTATCGTTTTTGTTTGTTTTTGATCCGACTTTAAGTTTTCAAAATATTCGCGACTACCGTCGCTATCAATTAGATATGCCTTTTCACACATATTAAAGCGGTTTGATGATCAAGACTCATTCCCATTGTTTAAAATTCATTTCCCTGACAATTATGGTTACATCAATGTTTACTTGTTATTTTTTATTCTCATGTTTATACCCCACGTAGGTAAAACGTATTTTGGCACAATGCCCTGACTTGAATCGCTGCCAAGTAATACCTGTGTAGTCAGCATATTTTTTACACACGGGGACTTGAATCGCTGCCAAGTATTTACCTGTATAGTCAGCATATTTTTTGCACACGGCTCTAAACAAACTTGGCTCAGTGCCAAGTATTTACCTGTGTCCATAAACAAAACGTAGTACCTACGTACCAATGTAAAAAAACACTGTGTAAACAACTCCAGTATTTAAGGGGAATAGGTTAGGGTTAGTTAGGGGGTTAGGGTTAGGGGCTAGGGTTAGTTAGGGCTAAGGGGGTTAGGGTTAGTTAGGGTTAGGGTTAGTTAGGGCTAAGGGGGATAGGGTTAGTTAGGGTTAGGGTTAGGGGGTTAGGGTTAGGGGGTTAGGGTTAAGGTTAGGGTTAGGGTTAGTTAGGGCTAAGGGGAATAGGGTTAGTTAGGGTTAGGGTTAGGGGGGTTAGGGTTAGAACTCCACTGAGTTGACCCATTTATCCCCTCAACCTCAGAACTGATCACATGATTTCTCTCAACCAATCAGAATCTTCCGCCCTATCTAGGCCGTTTATACTACTAACAGTCGTAAGAACGTCGGGACGAACTGTGACGTCGTACTTGAAATAAAATGACGTTTAGCACAATCAATATAACAATACGTATTACCCTAACAAAAAAATACTATAGTTAACTATA